AGTGAGGGATACCCCTTTTTCTCCTCCTCTGTAGACAACATCTCCTCTGTAACTTCCTGCTATTGCTTGCAATGCAGATTCAGCACTTTGTTGGTAGTCAGCTCCTAGCTATGTTCCTCTACCAGCTCTTAAATGTCATTTTCATTCACCTCCAGTCCTTGGTCTTCCCTAAGGAAACAATTTCATCAACAACTGGCAGCTCTTGCTCATGAGCTCTAAGTCATGTCCAAGCATGTACTCAGGCCAGTGTTTTCCAAACAAAACTAAAGGTTCTGGTGACGCCGTTCAGGCAATATTGAAGAGACAGTTCATGATATGGAGATGATTTTTTCCAAAACTCTTTAGGCTAAAGATTGTTTCTTCAGTTACCTTGAAGCCTCACTGAAAGTGTTTTGGTGAAAGCTTTTTACAGTTTAAAAGGACCTGCTGATTTGTGGGCTGGAGGATTTAAGTGGTGTTGGGAGGAAGGAACTTGACCTTAATGAACTTGAATTCCCCCAGTAAGTGATCCTCAAAGTCTAGAGGATGAGTAGGATCATTATCCATAACCAGCAGGGCTCAGAATAGCATATTCCTATGTAAATGGTGTATCTTCACTGCAGGACCAAAGACCTCATTGATCTACTCAATGAACAAGAAGTGAGTGACAAACCTTGCTGCTGGACCTCCACATGGTGTCTCACTGGCTCTTTTACACCCATTTCTTGAAGGCTTGCAGATTCTTGGAGTGATACACAAGCAGGGGTCTGACTTTGAAATCCCCACTTACATTAGCACAAAACAAGAGGGTAAGATGCTCTCTCATGGGCTTGTGACCTGGCACTGCGTTTTCTTCTGTAAGGTAGTCCTTTTTGGCAACTTTTTCCAAAAAATCTCCATCTCATTGCAGTTAAAAAACTTACTCTGGCAGGTAATTCTCAGAATCTATGAGCTTCTAGAACTCAGCAGTGAATTCCTCAGCTGCCTTAGCATCCAAATTCAAGCCTCTGCATGGCTCACCATATTATGGAAGCTACTTCTCCTTTTAAAGTTATGAAGCCATCTCTGCTTGCCTTAAAGCCTTCTTCATTTCCTGTTGATGTACTTGGTAGCTTATTTATGAGATCAGCATACAAGGCCTTTGCCTTCACACAGATAAAAGTTCTTAGTCACACTGTTACTTGCTAGTTGCTTCTCATTTATCCAAAACAGAAGTAACTTTGCTACATCTCCCACCACACATGGCCATTCCTTCCATATTCTTGTGAACCCTTTTGCTGCACCTGGCCCCCTTATTCCTTCTTAAATATCATGCAAATGGTCAACAGAGATTCTTATAAAATCTTGCAGTTTTAGCTACTTGTATACCTCGTTTGTACTTCTTAGTGATTTCGTTCTTAAATTCTACTATAATCATCTCCTTCTAACCACAATTGTTTTTCTTTTAACCACCTTTCTTTTCAACTTTTCCTGCATGGGCACCATTAGATATGCTCATCCAGATACTGACTATGGTAGTGTTAATAAACTTGTTTGTTATATATCGTATTAAATCTAACTAGCAATAAGACAACAGAGAAAAGCATCTATATCAGTAGCCTGACCTAGAATGAAGCAAAACACTCCTAAACTGTATGGACTGTCAACAGGTGCTCTGAAGTGACCAAAAATATACTAGAGTTAATTTTTTTTTTTTTTTTTTTTTTTTTTTGCAGAACCGGGGATTGAACTCAGGCCCTTGCGCTTGCCAAGGAAGCGCTTATTCCACTGAGCCTCTCCCCGGCCCCTATACTATGGTTAATCATGGGCATCTTCCTTTTTTTTTTTTTTTTGTAGCACCAGGGATCAAACTCTGAACTTTGAGCTTCCCCATCTTGGCATCTTCCAATGTTCTCATAAACCACTGATTTCTACCAAATACTGTGGCCTAAGCCTGAGCATCTGAGCATTGAAGCTGATCACCCACAATCCCATAGCAAAGAAAAGAACTTCTGGCTCCTTGTGACATTCAGCATGACATACTACTCATATTGCAAGACATCATTTGTTTATCAAGTTGTAATGTATTAAGAATGTTTGCTCAGGGCCAGGGAGATGGCTCATAGAACAAGTGCTTGCCTGGTAAGCACAGGGTCCTGAGTTCAATCCCTGGTTCTTCAAAAAAAAAAAAAAAGAATGTTTGCTCAGCTGGGGTTATAGCTCAGTGCCACAAGTGCCTGCCTGGCAAGTGCAAGGTTCTGAGTTCAATTCTGCTCCCCTCAAAGAATGTTTGTTCATCTTGTAAAACACTCAGAACAAGTTACTTACAATCCAAGGTTCTACTATAGAGAGATGGCTCAGTGGAATAAGTGCTTCCCTGGCAAGTGCAAGGGTCTGAGTTCAATCCCCGGTTCCACCAAAAAAAGAAAAAACAAAAACAAACAAACAAAAAACAAGGTTCTACTATATTGCATTTGAACACCTATCCAACACCCATGTGGAAATTTCAAATAGACTTCAACTATAAGGCAGTTGAGGAATAGGTCTGGGCTAAAGATATAATTTTGGGAATCCTAAATATATGGGTAGCATTTTAAGTCACAAAATTAGATGTCATAAGGAGAATACAAAGGAATGAAAACTGCAAACTGACCTATGGGGCATGCCAATGTTTAAGGGTTGATGAGACAATCAACAAAGGAGACTGAGGAAGAGGGCTGATGAGGCCAACTGAGAGCTACAGAGAGTAAACTGTGATGTATGCTGCTAACACACTGAATGGCATGAAGATTAAAAGGCAATGGCCTTGATTTATGACTGTAAAATGGTTCAAGTGAAGTTTAACCAGAGTGGACTCAAGAGAGAATAAGCAGGAAGAATATAAGGATAGACAACAACCTTCAAGGAGTTTTGACATAAAGGGAAATGAAAAACATGGAATGGCAGTAAAAGGGTATATTATATGGACTCAAGACTGGTTACTGACAATGTGCTGCAGGAAATGATTTAGTACAGAAGAAAGCAAAGTGTGATGCAGAAAACGGAAAGATTACTTATTGGAGCTATGCCCTTATGTGAGCAAATGGGGATAAGTTACAGTGTACAAGCAAGAGGCTGTCTACATGCAAGAGTATGGGCATTCCATCAATAATAACAGGAGGGAAGGCAGCAGCATCAGCCTGTCGAGTGCTGGGATTGCAGGCATGCGCCACCACACCCAGCTCAGCAAGTGGATGGTAATCAGGCAGGATGGCAGATATGCTGGAAGAAATGGGTCTGAAATTTTTTCTGGTTTTTTTAGGCAAAGTGGAAGCAAAGTCTAAGAGTGTGGCACATCAATGAGATCTTGAGCTTTGGAGAAAGAATATATAAGGTCTGCATGATCCTTGCTATTCCAGAGTCTACAGTTCACTGTGGAAAATGGGTATGTTTCAGTGAAATGAATTTTTGAGAAGAAGAAACAGAGGTGCCACAAAAAGGAAACCAGACCACCAGGACTTAACTGCAGCTGAACAGGGAATTTCTGCCAGAGGCATCACTTAAAGCAGAGGTCAGCAATTTTTTTCTGTGAAGAGCCAGCTGATATATATTTTAGGCTTCGTAGTTCACAAATTTACTAGCACAACTACTTAATTCTGCCCTTGCACTTTGAAAACAGCTACAGATAATATGCAAACAAGCAAGACTGTGACACAATAGAATTTCAAGATAGAGGTAGCAGATCAGACTTGGCCCATAGCCTGCAGTTGTTGAGCTCTGATTTAAACCAAGACTTAGAGGAGTTACAAAGAATAGATTCAAGAAGTAATGGCAAGAAGAAGTGTTTCATACAGAGGGAAGTATATCTAAATATTTAAATTCTTTGTTACTTCTAATTCTCACTTTCATTATGGTCTTCCCAAAAGATGACAGGTTAATTTTTCTAAATGACTGTCTTAGTGTACTTTCTTATCCAAGAATCTACAAGAAACTGGGCATGGTGGTGCATGCCTGTAATCCCAGCACTTGGGAGGTGGAGGCAGGAGGATCATTCTAAGTTAAAGTCTGGGCCACAAAGTAGCTCAAGGCCAGCCTAGACTATATAGTCTAAAGGCTACCACCTATTTTGACCATCTTCTCTTACTTAAAACCACAAAGAATCCACTCTAATATTGGTAATAAATAGTGCTTTTAAAAATTCTGATGCCTTAGCCAAATTTTATACTTGAAATTAGAATCTCTGTTGGTGGAACACACATATTAACATTACTTTAAAGCTCCCATGGTTAGTCTAATACACAATGTGGTGTGAGAAGTAACGCAGTATACCACATATTCCTATGCTTATTTTTATTCATATGGGCCTTTATACATGCTTTATAACTTGTTAGAAGCTAGGATGCTGACTACCTCGGTGACAGTAAAAAGGGGCACTGGAGGGAGGGTGCTTCTGGGGTGCTGGCCAGAGCCATGCCTGTTTCAGTGTGATAATCTACTGAGCTGTACTACACTGATCCGTGTCCTTTCCTACAGGCATTTTATATTTAAAGAGAAATGTTTTTAGGGCAACCTATTTGGGACCCCTTCTGCCTCTCAGGAACTATTTTTATTTTCCATTCCTCTATTTCTTTTCTCCAATAAATTTTCCTACTCTTAACGTCCAAAAAGAGAAATGTTTTTCAAAAGCTAAGCATCACTAATAATTTGCATAATCATTTCCTTTTCCAGAACCAAGTTCTTAAAAATGTAAATTAAGCACACCGAACATATTAACAATAAAACAAAATGAACTATTTGTGAAATGATCCGAAAATGAACAGTTAAAAAACAAAGTTTCATGGGGCCGGGGAGAGGGCTCAGTGGAATAAGTGCTTCCCTGGCAAGCGCAAGGGTCTGTCTGAGTTCAATCCCCGGTTCTGCAAAAAAAAAACCAAAACCCCAAAAAACCAAAACCAAAAACAAAAAAACAAAAACAAAAAACAAACAAACAAAAAAAGAATACAATAAATACCACATAAACTTTAACGAATTCTTATATTCTGTATTATAGTTAAGAAAAATACCTGCACATCTAGTCGCCATTCAAGGCTATGGTAAGTGGGAAGGTCAGGTGCTAGTTCATTTAGAATAGTTCTGATCTCCTTTCTGTTGTCCAGATAAAGCTGAAGCAGTAATTTGTTTAATTCTTCAGAGAATCCCAAAACAAAAACAGAGTCTTGGAAGTCCAGTTCAGATATCTGAAAGTAAATTAATTTTAACATCAAACTGTACCTTTGTCTAGTAAAGGTTGGCTAAAAAAAATTATACAAAAGATATATATGATATTCCCTAATTTTGTCTCTAAAATTTCTTAAAGACAACCATTGCCTACTATTTCAAGACATGACTTAGTGATATATAAGAATAGTTTAAAAGTACAAAAGGAAAGAAGTGATACGCTCAGCTTTGCCTATTTTCCATCATGCCAGATACTGCTAATATGCAAAGAAATCACTTCATTTTTTTCTTCTCTTACTATACATACACTATGGCAAGTAGTTTGACAACATACAGAATTATACAGAAGACAAATTACTCTTATACTAGCAAGAAGTATTCATAATAGCATATGCTATTGTTTAGGTATTCTTCAGAACAGTAATGACACCATTAACAAATTATTACAATATACAGGCATCTGCCACAATTATAACGTAGAGCACAATAGACCTTAAAGAAAAGTATTCAGATAATACAAAGCAGTTTTCAGAAGCCCTTACCATAAGCTTCGAGCTCTCAGTGAGGAGATAGGTTAAGCCTTCCACACCATGCTGGACAGTGTCACTGCTCACATTGAGTTTTCCTGAGAAGGAAAAATGAACCAATTATTCTGTGATACCTATCCTTTTACTCAAACTATTTAAAATATTTTCAATTATTCCACGTTTTTAAACACTGAAATACAAAAGAGGCAGCTGGTCAGAATCTCCTCCTCCCCTGTACTTCCTGCCAGATGCTTTCCGCATTTCCAGCCATATAACCGTAACAAAATGCAGACTCGTGGGGAGCAGCACCAGGCGCTCACTACGTCTGTCTAGCACGAAGCCTTCAAGCCTGACAGAAGAGGAACTCAACAGGGACTTTACTTAATCCCAGAGTTCCACCCTCATTCGGGGAAAACAATCACACTTCGGCCAAAGCAGCTGTTTGGATACTTAATGTTAACCAGCCCCTTGCTAGATGTTTACCCCGGACCCATCTGTTCCCACAGCCTTTGGTGCACGCCATCTGGTAAGCATCGTAATATTTCTGAAAGGCAGGCGGGTCACACGAGCATTTTCAACACGGTGAGACTGATTAGGTATGGACAGGCAGGGTTTGCGCCCCAACCCAGAAGCTCTGGTGGTTTTAAAGTGTCACCACGGGAGCAAGACCCTGGGCCTCGGCGGGAGTCCCCTTCTCAGGCGACCCCGCACGGCCCGCACTTCGCACGCTGCTCGCCAGCCCGGCTCTCTCTTCTTACTGGCGGCGCCTTCGTAGATCTTGGCGTTGGACCCTCGCCTCAGGAACTCCACCGCGATGCGCCCGAACTCGGCGACCACTGGAACGGAAGTCAGCAGGCCGTGAGCCCCGGGCGCTCCCCTGGGCGTCCTCCCCGCCCCCGGGACGCGGGCCCCGCGCGCCGGTACCCGCGCTATCCACTTGCGGCAGGAAAGCCAGGTGCTCCCTATGCTCCTCCGACAAGTCCAGCAGCATCTTCTCCGCCGAGCCGATTTCAGCGGTGGTGTCGAACCCGCCCTCGCAACTTCCGGCGTGCGAGTGCAAGCGCACAGAGGCTCGGGCGCCGCAGTGCCCCGCGCGTTGGGTTCCGGGCTCTGGCGGTCTGACCAGCGGAGGCTCGGGGTGGGGAAGGCTGGGTGCGGTAGAGCATAGTGTAAGAGCGCGAGAGTCTTCCCATCCTGCGAAAGTGTCGTGAGCGCATGGTGCTAGCCTTTGAGGGAAAGGAAAAGGTGTTTAAAATCTGGCGTGTCCCCTCCCGGAACATTCAGGGATAAAAGCGAAACCATTTAATACTGGTTAAGTGCTGGCTGGGCATAGTTGCGCACACCGTAATCCCAGCACTGGGGAGGTTGAAGTAGGAGGATCGCTGTGACTTTGAGGCCAGCCTGAAGTGCATAGCAAAACCCTGTCTCAAAAAAAAAAAAAAAAAAAAAAAAAAAAAAAGGTTGTTAATGTTTATTAATTTATTTTCAGTTCATAAGAAGAGTTCTGTGGTAGATTCATTACTATTTCCATTAGAGATAACGAAACAGAAATAACAACTGAAACTTTTGTAACATTATTAGTTTGCCCAGAGCTCTTCTGTATGTTAATGTATCTTATTTAATAACCTCAACATGAATGTCCTCTATTTTACAGGTTAGGAAACAAAGCTCTAAAAATGATATGTCATTGACATATATCATTGACAGCTGGAATGAATGAGATGATCCGATGCCTTGCCCACCAGCTCCAAAGGCCATACACCAGGCTGAACACAGAAGGTGTAAGAGCAGGAGATTGAACCCAAAGTCTTGGCACTGAGTTACATGCCCAGTCCACTTTTTATTTTGAGACCAGATTTTGTTATAGTTGCTATTGTTGGGGCTGGGCTTGAATTTGTGATGTTCCTGTCTCAGGCTCCCAGATTGCTAAGATTAGATCAGTGCCACCCTGACTGGCAAACTACAGGTGTATAACAAATTTTCCGAGGTACTGGGGATCCACCTAGGGTATTACATATGTTAAATACACACTTCACCATTGACTAACATCCCCAGACTCTGTAATAACTTTTAAGAATGATTGTAAATTAGGATAAATACAACGATGATGAGGATAATCAAAGCTTATTGAATTCAGAACAATGCCATTATTTTTATGTTTTGAAGATGTATGAGAATTTGGCCCCTTTTTGAACTCTTCTCATTGGTTTGGTTCAAATACATGAGATAGGATAATAACTAATAGGAATATGACTCTCCAAATCTCTCTTTAGTGTTGAGAACAAAGGATAAAGAAAAAGGAAAGACAGACTTTACATTTGTTGTTTATGTCTAGGGATTTGGGGATATTCCCTGAGCTTCTCCATCCTAGGCAAATATTCTACTACTGAGCTACTCACTCATCAAGAGACAGCACTATACTTTTGAGTCCCTCAGGTAGACATAGAATTGGAAATTTTCCAGCTCCTCTCTGTGTCTGCGTTAGCCTTCACATCTGACTGAAATGGTTACCTTGTCTTGGGCACAAAAAGGCAAGCCCTTGAAATTATCAGTTAGGTGTTGAATCCTCAAAG